TTTTTTTTTGCAGGTTTTATCATTGCATTTACAAGTTAAATGGTGCTCGTTATCAGGTGATTGCTGCTGTTAGTAATCTCTCTGGAAGTTTTATTCAGGTAGCGACGGAGAGGTTTTCCAATGTCAAGACCGTACGCATGCTAGTGGCAGAAGAAAAGGAGTTTGCTGCATACAAGGAAAAGATGCGTGAGATATGGTTGATTGCGCGTCGGGAAGGTTTAGCTAAGGGGCTTATGTATGGCGGGGTAACTGTTTTTCACCATCAGTTTTTGGATGTGTTGGTTTATACATTTATACTTTTTCTGCTGTCCTTTGTTTAATAAAAATTGCTTCAGTTTCAATTTACCGGTTATGTCGCACTAACGACTATCCTGTTCTATGGAAGTCATCTAATTAGCCAAGGACTACTAACTTATGGTGTGTTTTCCGTTGATATTGTATGTTACTTTTCTGGAACATTTTTATTATTACTTTTTTTCTTTTAGGCGATCTTTCATCTTTCTGTCTTTATGCAGTCCTTTGTGCAGCTAGCCTCTCAAATATGAGCTCATTTTATACAGAAGTCATGAAAGGTCTTGGCGCAAGCGCGCGTTTATTTGAGCTCCGCTACCGGAAAGCTTCTATTCCGATCACTGGTTGCTTTTTAAATTTTCATGTTTGTTCTCTTAACCGGTTGCTTTTTTGGTTATCAGTTGATCATTTACAGTACACTTTAGTTTCTCATGCTGGCATTTTTTTCTATTTTTCCAGGCGGCATTAAAAAAAAAGGAATACAAAACGGTATAGAATTCGACTCAGTGCATTTTGCTTATCCAGATAGGCCTCCAACATTTAATGGCCTTACCTTATTCATACCTACCGGTAAAGTTACAGCGGTAGTTGGCCACTCCGGCTCAGGCAAAAGCACTTTGGCAAATCTCATTCTGAGGTATGATTCAGTATAGGGATTCTCAAAACTTTTTTAAGTTTGGGCATTTACACTTGTATTTTTGTAAGAAGTTTTTTCATAGATCGGTTTAAAGAAAGGCGTTAGTCAGTTCATCTAATATTTTCTTCAGCCATAAAATATTCATCCTTTTTGTCATTTTAGTAACTCGTCAAACTAGATGTCTTTCCTTGTTGTTTTTAGGCTTTATGATCCTACTATGGGAAAAATAATGGTTGATGGGATTGATTTGAAAGAAATAGATCCATCATTTTGGCGTCGGCAAATCGGAACTGTCGGTCAGGTAACATAATTTTTTAAGAACTGTGCGCGCTAATTTTTCTCAGAAATTTTGTTTTTTTTTTAAACTTTTTCTTCAGTAGCGCTTGATATTGTTCATGCTTGAAATTTTTATTTTCAAAAATTTTTAGGAGCCTGTGCTTTTTTCGACTTCTATTTGGAATAATATTGTCTATGGCGCTGAAAAACCGGAACTAATTGCGTCAGACAGAGTTTGTTATTTTGA